TTCTCCATTTTTATAATTTTTTCTGATACATATACATGTTCTTATGTTGCATAAAAAGTTTGAGCTGATTCCAATCAAAATTGGATTTTTTACAAATTTTAAAATTTACTCAAAAATTGGGCCAAAGTCCCTGTACTATAGTACAGGGTCACGCCCAAATTTTGCCAAAAATAAAAAGGAGAGAATTCTCCATTTTTATAATTTTTTCTGATACGTTCTTATGTTGCATAAAAAGTTTAAGCTGATTCTGATCAAAATTGGATTTTTTATGAATTTTTTAAGTTACTCAAAATTAGGCCAAATTTTGCTAAGATTGAAAATGTGAGAATTTTCAATTTTTATTACATTTCCTAATAACGTATATGCCATGTATTTCGTGGGTATAAAATTTTGCAATTTGGCTGCATTTTTGTATTCGCGAATAAAAATGTCATGATTTTAATGTAATTACCGCACCTACTATACAATCAGCACATTATTTTGCGGATTTTTATTTCACAAATTTTTTCAAAATGCAAAATTTAATTACCACGAAATATATGGCATATACGGTACATTATACATGTCATTTAGAGTTAAAATTGTATTTAAGTTGCTCCAATAATCCTCCCTCCCTTTAATGTCTCACTTTTAATTTCAAATACTTTTCCTTTCCTCAGTCTCTCTTCAATGTCAGCTGCTAGTGCATTCTCTTTCAGCCTCTTAAGAGCACTAATGACATCAGTCCATGTACCAGGTGGATATACCCCAGTCCATTTAGTCCACAGTCCCATCTTCCTACTCTCCACTCCAGTCTTGTCCTCTTCAATCTTATCAATGTCCTTTTGTTTTATTCCTGGTAAGAACAGGCCAAAGGTTTGCCATTTTGTTAATGGTTCCAGCCATTCAGCCCACAGGTCTTCTCTAGGACTGGAATCAAGAGGAGAAGGTGGGGTTGAAGAGGAGAACATTTTGTATTGTGAAGTAGTCAGGCGGAGCCTGACCCTCGCAAAGAGGAGGGTCAGGACCAATCCGTATCTAGAATTTGTTCTGAACTGCACAGTTTCGTGCAGTGCCGGAAATGACTCATGGTGACTCTAATTTTAATATTAACCCTTACATTACCAATAAACTATGGCAACTGTAATGCAAGATGCTGCTGCGAGATTGGGATATGTTTTAAAAGATGATCAGGCCAAGATTATAGCTTGTTTTAAGGATGGTAATGATGTCTTTGGGGTCTTGCCTACTGGATATGGCAAATCACTTTGCTACCAGTGTTTGCCGTACATTTTTGACAGCACTAGAGAAGATGGAATCTCAGGCTCCATAATAATAATAATTACACCATTAATAGCTATAATAAGAGATCAGGTTAGGCTCTATTATTCATTTTATACTTAGTTTATAATGTAAATCAACTATGACCATATCATTCATAGGTTCATGCTTGTAGAAATAAAGGTCTGAGTGCTGCTGCTGTGTGTGGTGATGCTAATGATGATGATAAGGAAGATGTTGAGAAAGGATTGTTTCAACTTTTGTTTTTACCCCAGAGATGTTGTTAAAAAAGCACTACAGGAGATTGCTTTGTTCCAAAACTTATCAAGTTAAAATTAAAGGTCTTGTTATTGATGAAGCACACACTATAAAAATATGGTATGTTTACACTTACATGTAGTATATAGCTATACTTAATTTATCAAAATTTTTTTTCATAGGGGTAGTACATTTCGAGATTCATTGGAGCGTATAGGTGAAGTTCGTAGCCTTCTTCCATCTTCTGTCCCTGTCATGGCATTAACTGCAACCGCTACACATCAACTTCGTTTGGATCTTTCTAGAATTATTGGCTTAAAAAATCCAGTCATGATAGTACAGCCACCTTGTAAGCCAAATTTAATGTATAAAGTCGGCAATTTTGTGTCTATTGAAGCAAATTTCACACCTGTTTTGGATAATTTAAGAAGAGAAAGAGCAGCGTATTCCAGAACTATTATATACTGCAGGACCATGGATGACTGTGCAAATCTATATTTATTTTTTGAAAGAGGTTTAGGTAGAGATTTCACAGAGCCTCCTGGAGCCCCTAATATATCAAAATTTAGATTAGTAGACATGTTCACTAGTTGCACAGAAATGGCAGTTAAAAATCAAATAGTTACTGCATTTACAACAGAAAGCAACTTACGCATTGTTTGTGCTACTGTTGCCTTTGGGATGGGGGTAGACTGTGCTAATGTACGTGTGATTATTCATTTTGGTGCCCCTGATGATTTGGAGTCCTATATTCAAGAAACTGGCAGGGCTGGGAGGGACAATTTACCATCACAAGCAATTCTCTTTCCAAAGAAAAATGCAATGCGTTTTGTAAATCGTGAAATGAGAGCTTACTGCTATAATTACTCTGATTGTCGCAGAAATTTATTATTCATAAACATGGAAGGATATAAACGCGAACTACATTCTGTACCTCCTGATAGCTGCTGTGACATTTGTCAGTCAAATAATGAACATTAAAGTAAATTATTGTGTATGTGTTTTAATGTAAGAAATTAGTTCAGTTTTTGATTTCTTATGTAATAAAGATGAAATGTTTAAAAAACAATTCAGCTTTCGTCCAGGTATTTCAGAAAAGACATTGCATGTGTTGATGTGATCTACAACATGGAGTATATCCTTTTTCATAGAAGCAGTCTTATGTCTTGTATGATGAGTCTCTATGTCATTAATGCTATCAAACTGCTCTAAAACTGGTGCTAGCGTTCCAATTGCCTTACCAATACGAACTATTGCTTGCTCTGATTTATTTGATTGTAAGAAAGCAATGCAACTCTTGACTTCTCGATTAAGATGTTCCATGTGAAGATCGGCACTAATATTCCTTCCTGGAAATCCACTTGTATTTACAAATCGATTATACTTCATTTGTTCTGCCTGTTGTGGTGTAAGCAAATATTGATAATTGTGTAATAGATGAATACTTTCCTTTGCATAGTTCTTCCGATGAGCATTGTGAAAAATAATAAGGAAATAGCGCCAACAGCGGAGGACTCTGTCACCATCGCCTTCCTTGACAGCATCAGAAAACTCTAAATATAAACTGCCCATGCTCATTAGTTGTTTCACGTAAGTAAAGACACCATCTGCAGAATCAGCTGATGACTCATTATATCCAACATCTAAAAATTTGTGAACGATCTTGGTTAGAATTGAATCCATTTCCTTCTTACGAACATCTTTTTTTTGAAGCCATAAATCTGGTGGTATACATGATGGAGTTTCGTTAACATCTGTGATCTCTAGCACTTTCATTGCTGCAGATGTTATGTAGCTACGGAGAACTAAAATTAAGAAATCTTCACATGCATTCATGGCATGTTTTGGCTTTATAGTAACATTAGATCGACCAATCAGATTTCTTATCTGGTACATGGTACCGTGATCTGATGCTGACTTTTGTGATAAAAAGTACTTCCAAATTACCTATTAGAGTTAGCATAATGACTATAGATGATTATGATAAGTGCAACTTACTTCAAACAATGTTAATTTTGCATGCCAGTCTTCAATGGCAGGAATGAATCCCTCAAGGCGAACGGAAGGCGTATCACTGTTATGTCTTATTCTAAGTGCTGATCGTGTTCTTGCAACAGAAAGTTGGTCACCTCCAAAAAATATGCCATGTGTTTTTGCTTCGTGAACAACCTCACTTTCATCATTCACACAATGATCCACTTGGTATTCAATTTGAGGGACATATTGATGGAAATGATCCAATATTTCGACCATGTCTTTGATTTTATTTTCATTTTTTGGTATGATACCAAGAGGGACCTATGATACATCATTATAATACAAGATATTTTTTCATACTTACTACAACTGATTTAGATGACATTTCTTTGTAATGCTTGTGCTCAATGTGATTTGGAATAATGTCAGAGAAACATAATTCAAAGAAAGGTAGAATTTCGACCAGTATTCGAGAAAAAAGTATTTTTATATTTGTCTTCAAGATTTCGTCATCATCAGGTGAAGGCAAAAGTGACTGAGCTACTGCATCTGGTGAAGGCATACATGATGGTAATCTTTCCTTAGGAAGGTCATGATAAATTCTATCTTGCACGGCGTAACAGTGAAAGTAGTGTAGTGATTTTACTTTCCGATTTAATCGCATATACCTTGGTGTGACATTCTTATCAATATTGTCACCCACTAGCTTATAAGATTTATGTCTCAAGGATGAATTGTTTGAAAGCTCAGCTACTGTATCCATGTCATCGTTAAGTGGTAATGCTGTGGTGCTTGTTGTGATGTGTGTTCCTGCATTATTAGCAGTGCTAGTTAATGGATCTACACCATTGTCATCAACATCAATAGAAGGCTCTAAGTCTGCAAGTGTATGTAAACCATCATTTGGTGGTAATGCAGTCGTTGAGGCTATGCATGCTGTTTCAGCAGCAACGTTTATTGTGCTAGTTGAGAGTTCCATAGCATCATCTTCATCAGATACACTTGTACCAGCATAATTTATATCTGAAAAATCAGTAGAATCGAATTCATAGCTAGAGATGGAGTAATTACTAGAAGTTGACTCACACATGCAACCATCACATTCATCATCAGATACAGGTAAAACAAAGCTTGCAAGCTGCCTACTATCCTAAAACAAGGCTGAAACTGCATATTTTATTATAATTATTTGACTTACATCTTTGTCCATTATACCAGCAATATCATCTCTCCATTTCATTACTTCTTCGTCATGATTTTTCCCAAGACTGTTGACTAACTCAATCACAGAAGTATGAGACACAGTGAGTTCAATAGCATTAAATCTTGAATATACCTTCAAATAAAAAGAATATCAATAATTCAAATTAACTATTATTATACCTTCTTTGAACAATGGCTAGAATACAATATTAGGGATAAGACCTTTTGAAGCAAATTCAAATTTCTATAACGATACTTTAAGATTATTGCAGCACAGGTACAAATAACAGCAATTCTATTCTTTCGTTTGGTTTTTGTGTTTGTAGCAGACACGAGAAATTGTAAAAGAACAGGCGCTTTACTTTGTAATTCATTATAAATCATATCCCAATGAAAAAACTTCAAATGATCTGGTGACTGACTACATAGAATGGAGTTGACGCTACTCATCCTCTTAACTTCGGTTTCAATAGTTCTACTGATGCTCGACAAAGTGTACTGCCTTGATTTTTTATCAGCTAAACATTCTGTTGCTATTTTTCTCTTGCTTTTTCGAGCGTATGCATTAACAGCATCCTTACGGCTTGGTGTTACTTTGTACACTTTTCGTCTCTTAGCATTACTGACAACAATCTATACAATAGTAATAATTACAGCTGCGATAGTTAAAGCAAAACATACAGATATATCTGGTGACTCCACTTGTGAAGTTGAACGCTTATTTGATCTGCTTGGAGTACTGCAACTGAAATCATGATCCATTCCAGAATTATTAGTAATATCATGCTCTCCATTAGACTGTAGATGTGCCCATCTATCATCATGCATTATGACTTCAATAGCATTGCTAATCCTCTTCTTAGTGCTC